CTTCTGGAATGGCGTTTTGATTTCTCCATCTAACCTAGAGCCCTCTCAGTCCCATTCAAGGACTATTAAAATGAGATCACGCCTATTGGTGGACACATCGGGTCCATTTAATAGGCGGATAAATACCACATTATGGCTGAGACAATATAACCAAATGCACACGGAAAATGCATACTAGAAAAAAAAATTGGGTGAGCATCATCTCTGCTTCAGGGCTGAGGGCGGTGTGGAATTTCCTTTTGCCACATCAGAGGGAAGCAATCATCTTCCTGAAGCCACAAAGGGTGCCTGGTTTATTTTCAAAACCTTTTTCGCCGTTCAGACATGCCTCTGTATGTGTGTTGGGGAGGGAGGTGGGAGAATGTCAAAAAATCAATCGCCACCATGGCTGTGCGACTGAAGCCCTATCCTCTTTTTAATATGCAGCACATGTAAAAAAAGATCTTGCCGTTGTGGCTGCCATTTTGACTTTTTTGACCTCCTTCCACGAAGGCCCCTCTTACAGTCAATCATTTCAACTCTCTCACCGGACCAGTTGGTATCTTCCCTGACCATTTGCTGGATGTGTTCGAATGAGGAAAAAACAAGTGCTTCAAAGAAAGGACTGAGCAAACAGGATGCCCCAGAGAGGTATTGCTCTGCACCCCCCGCTTGCTTCCACCTGTCTGGCACGAAGAGGACCCTTGAAGCCAAAATCCTTTGCTGCCCTTGCTCTAAAAAGATGTGCACGTGCCCTCAAAGGTTAAGTCAAATCACAATTAAGTCAAATTCTAGCAACTCAGTTACAGTGACGCATGAGAAAGGAGCTATCAGAATACCTTACAAAGGAATGGTTGCTAAAGTGGATGAGCGCTGAATGAGCAACAACAATAAGCATTTAGCCCAGGTAAGGAAACAGGAAGCGTCCTCAATGTTATTTATGTCTTTAAAAAACAAAAATTACATGCCACCTGTCACGATGTGCATCTCCAGGCTGTGTACCATGCTGGTATACTTTTTATGCAGTTGAAAATGCCTCCAAGCAGGTAAAGCAATGAGGCTCTTAACGTCATGCCTATGACAAATGGAACAATATTATTATGGGATGTCAAGTGCCAAAGTGAATGAAAAGGTTTTCAGCAGTTGCCTACACTGCGGTGAAGCAGCAGGATGTTTTCTCTGCAGTAGAAGGCTGGTCTCCTAGAGCTGGGATCCGCAACTTTTTTCAGGCTTGGATAGCCTGTGATTTTGTATGATGGCTTGGTCACCTAGGGTAAATATTAAAAAAATAAAGTAAAAATGTAAAACATTTTAAAAATCAAAACAACTAAAAGTATCATCAGATCTCACATGTGCTGTCCTGACATCATTTGAGAACTCACGTGAAAACACATGAGAAAACATTTATTGCAAGATTAGGCAGTCTTGTGTGATTTGGGGACATTTTTAATATTTGTGATTTATTTTACTTTCATTTATAGTTTTTGGGAAACATTCTGGAGATCCATGAAGCACATCTAGTGATAATATGGGTGCAGTTTGTTGACCACCAACTCTAAAATTCAATTCTGGCTAGCAGATGAAACTAAGTCAGGGATGGAGAATCTGTGGCCCTATACACTCAGTAGCCCTAGCTGCCATATTCAAGGGCAAGGCATTCTGGGAATTGTAGTTTGGTAACAGCTAGAATGCCCTAGGTTTCTAGACTCATGCCCATGCGTGTGGGCAAGTGCATAACTTCATGTTACAATTTAGTTAATTTAATAGTTGATTGATTATGTACCATCAAGTTGTTGTCAACGGTTAGCAACCACACAGAAAGATTTTCTCTGTGACAATCTGTCCCCAACCTGGTCCTTCAGGTCTTTCAACGGTGCACCCATCGCTGCTGTAACTGAGTCCATCCACCTTGCTGCTGGTTGTCCTCTTCTTTTTCCTTCCATGTTTCCCAGCATTAGAGCCTTTTCCAGAGAGCTGGGTCTTCGTATAATGTGTCCTAGTAGGATAATTTGAGCCTGGTCATTTGTGCCTCGAGTGAGAATTCTGGTTGATTTGTTCGGTAAGCCAATAGTTTGTTTTCTTGGCTATCTGCAGTATTCTCAGGAGTCTTCTCCAACAGTAAAGTTCAAAAGCATCAATAGTCTTCCTATCCTGCTTCTTTGAAGTCCAACTTTATATATAGGTTTCTCATGAGGACAAGGAGATGTTCTGGGATTCCCAATTTTCTAAGCACATTCCGCAGCTTGATGTGATAAACACAATCAAAGGCCTTTCTATAATCAATGAAGCACATACTAACTTATTTTTGGTATTCCTTGGCTTTCTCATTTATCCAGCTTGCATCAGCAATAATGTCTCACGTTCTTCAGCTTTTTCTAAAGCTAGCTTGAGCATCTGGCATCTCTTTTTCCATGTAGAGCTCTAATCTGCATTGGATAATCCTAAGCATTATTTTGTTCAGCATGTCAAATTAAGGCTATTGTACGATCGTTTGCATACTCTGTTAAGTCTCCTTTGTTTTTCATGTCCTGAGTAATAAACAGTGTGATCTGACTGAAAGTGTCCTATCCCATCAACTTGCTGATGCCTAACATATCAATTTATCATTGTTTCATTTCATCTTTCACTGTGTGGAGCTTTCCCGTGTTTATGCTTCTTATGTTCCATATTCCCATTGTAATTCTGTCTTTGCAGCTTTGGATTTTCTTTTCCCGTATGAGCAACATCAACAGCTAGACATCCCAAAGGCTTTAATCTAACCACCTCATAAACACCGTTAGTACTCCAAAAGATCCTCAGCTCTTCCTCAGTAGCATGTTCAGGGTCATCTGACCTGAGGGGTCATCTGACCCATATGTGCCATATGATGAGGGGCCCATCATATGGCACATATCATCAATCATTTAATAACTTCTATCCATGTGGTTTTCTTGATAAAAACACAGGACTGGTTTGCCATTGCCTTCTCCCATGAATTGATGCCTTTGCCATTGTCACTAAAATGATCATCTGCCTCTGGCATCTTCCTCTGTCTCAGCTGCCCAATCTAGGTGCCTGTTGGCTTTAGCTGGGCACCTGGGATGACCTTCACCCCTTGGGTGACCCTGCTGGGAATGTGTACTCTTGGCATGCGCTCCCAATGTTCTTCGCTCATCCCTCTCAGCAACACTCTTCTGCCATGATGAGGCAGCACAGCAGGACTTGTGGGTGGGTGGGGTGGGGGATTTAATTGTTAACTAAGGTTAAATACTGTATCCAAATAGTAAAGAATTAATATTAGCTAATAGAAATAGATTCTTTCGGATTACATGCTCCAGATCAGCACTTAGAGCTGACTTTGAGAAAAAGGCTTAAACTTTGCGGCAGGCTGTGTAATGAATGTATTTCCTCCTCCTCTCTGGATGTCAGACTTCATGAGTTGACTGTCCCTAACATGATGATTGCGGGCTGGGACAGGCCTAGGTTGCTTTACAGCCACTACTATCTGCTCAGTATTGCCACATTGCCTCTTGCTACAAATGGCAGAAATATACGTACAACTCACAACATACAAACTTATCTCTGCCCTCCAGTCTCTAGTAACTCATTTAATCACCTTGAACATGTACCAGCACCCAGAAAAGTGTAAGGCATAACATGTGGGGAAGGATTCCCAGGCCCATCTGTTGCAATGACAGATGTGATTGATCAGCTGTGCTGATTCAAAATGTATCTCATTTGTAACCCATTTCCATTCAAAATCTACAGAAGGGATTGCCCCAGTGTTTTTCAACCTTGGCAACCTGAACATGGGTGGACTTCAACTCCCAGAATTCCCTAGCCAGCATGAGGCAGTAGGAATTCTGGGAGTTGAAGTCCACCCATCTTGAAGTTGCCAGGGTTGAAAAACATTGGTTTACACAAACATAAACATTGCAATAGCATGATGGAAAGATGGTAAAAGCCAGTGATAATAGTAGATGTAGGAGGAAAGGGGAACATATTAGGTATTAAACATCTGGGACAGTGGCACTGTCAGGTTTGGGGATCTTGGGCAACATGTCCTCTGGACCCTCCTTCTCCTGATCTTTCTATTCTCTCATTTTTGCTTACTCACTGTCCCCTTGCCCTGCCCTGCCTCCTTGCACTCTCTTTCTCTTTATACTTTTCTTCTCCTCCCCACTGACCTGGGGGCAATTGAAAATGGTTTGTACACTGACCTAGGAACCAACTACTTCTCAAAATGCTACACAGGATCAGAGCTAGTCAGGAGACCAGCAGGAAATCTCAGGGCCACAAGCAAAACAGACATAAAAAAGGTCCCAGAAGAAGCCAGTGGCAACTTATTTCCATATTATTGCCAAATAACTACATGGAAGTGCCCTGTGTTCAAAAAGATGAGCTCAAGGCTGTCTTCATTTTATTAATTTATCATTTATTAAACTTACCGTGATGCTTAGTCTATTGATTGTTGGGCTGATAATCAACCTATCAATGTTTTTATCTCACCTGTCTTCACATTTGTGGAAGAGATCATCTACTTGATGCAGTTCTAGGGTGCAAATAATCCTTACACACATTTGGAACTCAAGTTTATTTGCATTGCTTCAGCTGGCTGACATCCTCCCCACTGTCACAGAACGGTTACAGCGGTTATTTCATCTACGCGATAGGCTTAACCGGATCGATTAAAAACTAAGCCGTTTTCTCCTTAGCAGTTGCCTTTTTGTAATTTAGGATGTTGTATGAGCCCAATGATAAATTATGGGGGTGCGCGGGCGGGCGTGTATGTAGGTTTTATGACACTGCACCACCAGTATCATACTGATAGGCCACCCCGATGATACCCCGCACGCCCACTATAAACGGGGCAAAAGTTACGAGAGCGGGCAGAAGCTCGGCTCGCGGTCTACGTGCTCCTTGGGCGTGGCTTCTAGAGACTGGCTCCGCCTCCCACCATTCAACCCGCGTTGAAGGCGTGGTCTGCGACGCCGGCTCTGCCGAAGCCGCAGGTGAGCAGCTCTGTGAGGGGTTGCCTCCCATCCGCCGATTCGGACGACGTGGGCTGACTCCAGCTCCAGTCCGCCCCTTGCTGAAGGCGGAGAGTTGCTGATTCCTGCCTTGCCGGCAGAATATGAAGCGGCGGGGTGCAGAGGTGCCCGCGTCCACACTACCTCTGGGGCGTCAAGAAAAGGGGTTCGCTTCCGCTTCCTCCTCCTCTTCCATGGGCCAGGCCGCCTCCTCCGCGATGCTCCCCCAGCAGTTTTACGGGTAAGGCCCTCCTGCAAGGCGCGGGGAGCGATGGGGGCGGCGTTGCTGCCTCCAGGGCCAGCCTCGGGGGCTCCTCCTTGCGCTCGCCCGTCTCGCCGTCGCGTCGCTCGGCATCTTCTCCTTTTGCTGCCGATTTCATCAGGCGATCGCGGGGAGAAAGGGCGGGCGGAGGAGATGTGGAAGCCAGGGCGAACGGAGCTATTTTCAGAATTAAATTCCAAACAGGTTTTCGAATGTATAAAATTAAACCCCGGCGCATGGCGCAGGATGAGTCGCCTTTGCACTCGGGCTGAGGAGCGCGATAATGAAGGCGGTGGAAGCAGATCGAAACGCGCTCCTGACGCTCGGCCCGCGGGGCGCCAGGGGGCTTGCTTTGGGCACCGCGGTCGCTTCTCCAGTTCGAATCTCGGGCTCTTTCCAGATTAGTGTAAATGGGAGGGATTCTGCCTAACCCTCATATTAGCCTAATGAAGTGAAGGGGAAGCTGGCAAGGCTACCCACTGAACTTTGACCTAGAAAGTTTCCAACCCCATTATCCCTGGTCCAAGCGAGCTGTTGCGATCACCATTTGAAGTACACAGGTTGCCCCAAATGCACCAGCGCCTTTTTTGTGTCCTTAAGTTGTTATATACAAAGCACTGAGTGGACAAAGACAAAGCAGGACGTGGCAGACTCTAGCTGGATTGGAACTGGGTAGTCTGTGGATGGAACCCCACCAGGAAATGTGAGGGCTGAAAGCTAGACTGAGAAGTGGCCAGACTCAGCGTGTCCAGGAGGTCACTGCAAATGGAGTTTGCCTGAAAGGAAGCGTTACATTGCATGTCCTGAAAGTTGAATTGGTATGGGAGGTTTTAAAATACTTTTAAGCGGTCTGAACAAAGAGGCGCACTGGCTGTGTTCACATAATGTGTTCAAGGAGTTCAGTTACAAACTTGTTGCTGTGTTTGCATAAATGTGTTAAACTCATAATTATCAACTGATAATTTGTTTTGGTCAATGGATGTGTTAAAAGAACCCAGCTCATTTGATTAGCTTATGATTCAGCATATTGCATAAATGGGTTATTTCAGTAACCCAGTGATGTGTGTCCTTTAAACCCAGCCAATGGTGCAATCTCATTATCTCATTACTGTGCTCAGATGCATCCTCCAAGGACTGTCAAGGGGAAATAGGCAGTTCTTGACTAAGAACAGGTTATACCCTCAAGCTTAGCGGCTGTTGGTCCTCCAGCAGGCTGGGGAATTCTGGGAGTTGAAGTCTACATATCTTAAAAGTTGTCAAGGTTGAGACATCCTGCTCCAGTACATGTGTAATTGACAGTGCCCATGACTTTTTTGGAATAGAAATTTAAAATAGAACTTTTTCCTTCAGTTTTAGTTAATTTTAATCACTGTTATGTATTATGTAGATTAATGTGTTATGTAGATTAATATTATACGATTTGTTTCCCCTTCCATTTTAGTTCATTTTAGAAATTCACTCAATTGTGGCTTGTTCAACTGTGTGTGGTTAAAACAAAACTATGGTTTAGCATGATATTTGAGCTTATTTCTAGTATATCGTGGATATGCTTGTGGGACTATGATAAAATTGTCCAAAATAACCTTCCTTAATGTACTGCACTCAACTCCCATAATCCCCTGCCAGAACTCAGTTGGAGTTTAGTTTAACTGAATGTATATGGAGGACACAGAGTTGGAGATGGCTGATTTAGAAGCTGTCCTGTTTTAATCCACTATCACCTTATTACCAAGGTTTGGGGCCTCATACATTTATTTGGAATAGTAAATTTGCAGAATGCATGCTGGGGAGATTTGAAAATATGCAAGGCGTGCCCAGTGATATGCTGCCCAGGTGTGCTGAGATGGGAGTCCTGATAATGCAGGAACTGCTCACATTAAGGTGCCCCTCTGATCTGCTTAACTCTTGATAAACACATTCAAGGCTGCTTTGAACAATTAAACTGCTCATAATAATTGTTTAGGATATTTTGGCAAGCCAAGGATGATCAAAACGATGATTATACCAGAGCAGCAACGGTTGAATGATAGCAGTAAGTAGTGTATCAGTATGTACATTTTCCAATGAAGCAACCCAGCCTGGCAACCAGACAAAGGATGGGCGCCTCTCCCTGCTGGCGTGCCATCTGCTCTTCCTTCACTGGCATGGCTCATAAATTGGTCCCTTCCGAGTCTGTTTTTGTGATCCCAGTTCTTTAGATCTATTGAGCCTGGTCAGATAAATCTTTTGAGCTGTGTGAGAATGCTGTCTTGCACCTTTCTCCAGGCAAAAAACTGGCTCTCTTATGTCATACCAGAAAGGGGGAGCCCAAGATCCCCAGGGTTGCCAGCTAATAGGAAAATTCTCCTCCTCCTTGATCATTGCATTCAAAGCTGACTTTTTTCAGCCTATGGATGTAGGGATTAGAGCAGTGGTTGTTTGACCCAATTACCCCTTTTCTTGGTCTCAAATAACGTCATTCCCTCTCCCCCACCAACGCCTCCCCCAAGACTTTTGTTTTATGCAATGTCTCAGGAGTGGGCAGTCCTAAACAGGATCCTCCACTCACAATTACAGATTGCTCCATTACCCCCAGGATATGCCCAAATTACCCACAGTTTAAGAACCACTGGATTAGAGTGTGGAGTTAAGCTTAGGTTCAAAAGTGTCCACAGGAGTGTGTGTCAGTTGCATCAATAACACGCCTTTTTATGGATGGAGTTGAAATCCACCCATCTTAAAGTTGCCAAGGTTGAGAAACACTGTGCTAAACCATCATAAAGTGTGCATGTGTGGGTGAAAGAGAGATAAAGCACAACACTTTGAGCAGCTGGAGAAAAAGTGGATGGGTGGGGGAATGGACAGCATTCATACTGAGGATCTTTTTTTATTATTATTGTTGGATGTCTGCCCTGGGATATGCAAAGCATTACATGTTTGCCCCTGAGACTGTGCAGAGTGCATATGTACTCTTTTACAAGATTCCTTCTCTTTTCCCCTGACCTTCTTCCTATTTCTATTTTCTAGCTTAGTCTGGTTATCTGATCTCAGAAGATTGGGAAAGTGGGGTGGCTTGTCTTGATTCACTCTTTTGAGTAGGACACAGTGCAAATCACAGATGTTCGTGATGTATAACACATTATGACAAATCATGTTATGCAATAAGACAGAAGAGATCTTGTGCAATCTGGCACTCTCCAGATATGTGAGGACAACTGTCATCATCTTCAGCCAGACCGATTACAGTCTCTGCTAGTTGTGGGTGATAAGAATTGTAGTCCTGGTTGTAGAATTGTAGTCCTGGAAGCTTGACATTCAGACACATCAGCCATCAATAGACACATAGAGATAAACCATATTTATACACCATGGAAAAGAGACAATAAAAAAACTAAGAACTAAAACGACCAGAACACATCCTCTCCAGCAGCCTACATCCAGATAAGCAGGGGTTAACACCAGACAAACAGTCAAGCAGAAAACAATATCCTAATCAAGGAGCTCCCAAGGAGAAAACCATACACCCACTAACACTGGCAGGGCAAGCTACTGTATATTAACAGGGAGCAAACCCCACACTCACTAGCACTGATGATGTTATCTAGTTGGGTAATGAAATGTCTGCAAGCAAACAACCAGGGCAAGCTACTGTATATTAACAGGGAGCAAACCCCACACTCACTAGCACTGATGATGTTATCTAGTTGGGTAATGAAATGTCTGCAAGCAAACAACCAAGCTCAGAGAGCACCAAGGATTCTACAGAATTGTAGTCCGGCCCATCAGGCAGGCACTTAATGGGTTACATTATATCTTCTTAAGAAACTAGATATAATGGAGAATAGATGTAATAGACAGTAGTAGACTGTGGCTACTGACTTATTAGCTATATGGGGAAATTTGTTGTTCAGTCGTCAAGTCGTGTCCGACTCTTCATGACCCCATGAACCATATCGCGCCAGGCCTTCCTGTCCTTCACTGCCTCCCTAGGTTTGCTCAGTTTCACACTCATTGCTTCAGGGATGCTATCTAACCAGCTCATCCTCTG